GTCAACACCTGATTCAGATACTTCCTTTGGCTTTTAGCATCCACTTGCAGATTGCATTAAGACATGGGAACATTTTAAATGATAACTTGGAAGCCAACAGTATGTATTTCGTGACAACCTTGCTATTCCGGGGGGAGAAAAAAGATTAATTATGCAGCAGTTTTGCTTTACAAGAGACCATGCTACCTCCTAGCATTTTATCTTAAGAAAATGGCGCCCGATCAACCAGCAGTACTAATTGGTAAGGCCACATCTGACATGAGCAGCACTTGTCACTCAGTGTGAGTTGTTTCCTGTATGCAAATGTGAGGGGAAAGAGCCTAGTGCCAAAATACTAGCTGTTATTTTTGAGAGTTCATGGTGAAATAGGAAAAATATCTGACGACAGAAAAAGGCATACTTTCTTTTGTGAGGGGAAAAAATAAGTTTGAAGTGATAAGGTCAACTTAATTTTTGAACAATGTCTCGTCAGAAACTAGATCACGTAAATCACTTGGCAGTTACCTAAAAGAACAGAAGGTATTGGGGAACGTTAAGCATAATTTTATAAAGAACAAATCTTAGTAAACCAATTTTATTTTCTACTTTGATGAAGTGTTAGGCCAGATGGACAAAAAGGAGGAAATTTGTTATAATTAAAATTGTATAATACAGGTGGACTCCGCTAAGGTTTCTGATTCAGTATCACATGGTCAAAAAAACCTCACTGCTGTTGAGTTGATTCCGACTCATAGCAACCCTATAGGGCAGAGTAGAACTGCCCCATAGGGTGTTCAAGGCTGTAAATCTTTTTTTTTTTTTTTTTTTTTTAAGATTTAAAGCTTTTTTATTATTTTTTTATTGTGCTTTAGTTGAAGATTTACAGAGCAAATTTGTTTCTCAAGGCTGTAAATCTTTATGAAAGCAGACTGCCACATCTTTTTCCTGCAGAGTGGCTAGTGGGTTTGAACCACTTGACATTTTTTTGGTTAGCAGCCGACCGTTTTAACCACTGTACCACCAGGCCTCCTTAATCACATGGTAGTCATCCAAAAATCATGTTCTGTGCCACCCATCTGTTAACACAGTTGGTGAGAGGGTATTGAAAAGTAATAGCATGGTGTTTGGAAAGAACAGTGTGCCAAAAGTCATAGGGAGGAGAATGACAAAAGGGGGCAAACCTTTATTGAGCACCTTTTATAAACGAGGCTTTGTGTTAGATGCTTTCCAAAAATACACTCCTTTACTTCTTTCCATCACCCTAGGGGTGTTATTATGATTTCAGTTTTGCAGTTGAATGTGAGGCTCAGAGAGATTGTGGATTCACACCACTAGTAAGTGGCATCTCCTACATCTTCCTATTGACCTTAAACAAATCACTTATCCTCTCTTGAGTTTTCTCCATCTATAAAATGGGGATGGTGGCTCTTAATTGTTATTAAGAATGGATGTCAAAGCTTCTGAAAACTTCATGAATTGAGAATCCAGACATAAATTCATCCACTTGTGAGCAGCTGATATTTGACAAAGCCCCGAAGTCCGTTAATTGGGTAAAAGACAGTCTCTTTAACAAATGGGGCTGGCATAACTGGATAGCCATCTGCAGAAAACTGAAACAAGACCCATACCTCACACCATGCACAAAAACTAATTCAAAATGGATCAAAGGCTTAAATATAAAATCAAAAACGATAAAGATCATGGAAGAAAAAATAGGAACAGTGCTAGGAGCCCTAATACATGGCATAAACACAATATGAACCATAAGTAACAGTGCACAAGCACCAGAAGAAAGACCAGATAAATGGGAGCTCCTAAAAATCAAACACGCTCATCAAAAGACTTCACCAAAAAAGTAAAAAGACAACCTACAGACTGGGAAAAAATTTTTGGCTATGACAAATCCAATACTGCAAAAGCTACAAGATACTGCAAAACCTCAACAACAAAAAGACAAATAACCCAATTGAAAAATGGGCAAAGGATATGAACAGGCACTTTGCCAAAGAAGATATTCAGGCGCCTAACAGACACATGAAGAAAATACGATCATTAGCCATTAGAGAAATGCAGATCAAAACTACAATCAGATATCATCTCACCCCAACAAGGCTAGCATTCATCCAAAAAACACAAAACAATAAATGCTGGAGAGATTATAGAGAGACTGGAACACTTATACACTGTTGGTGGGAATGTAAAATGGCACAACCACTTTGCAAATCGATTTGGCGCTTCCTTCAAATGCTAGAAATAGAAGTACCATACGATCCAGCTATCCCGCTCCTTGGAGTATATCTTAGAGAAGGAAGAGCCATCACACGAATAGATATATCCATACCCATGTTCATTGCAGCACTTTTCACAATAGCAAAAAGATGGAAACAACCTAGGTGCCCATCAACAGACGAATGGATAAACAAATTATAATATATCCACACAAGGGAATACTACGCAACAATAAAAAACAACAATGAAGCCGTGAAACATCTTATAACATGGAGGAAGCTGAAGGTTATTATACTGAGTGAATTTAGTCAGTCACAGAAGGACAAATATTATATAAGACCACTATTATAAAAACTCAAGAAAAGGTTTAAACACAGAAGAAAACATTCTTTGATGGTTACGGGGGTGAGGAGGGAGGGAGAGGGTTATTTACTAACTAGATAGTAGATAAGAATTAGGTGAAGGGAAGGACAGCACTCACTACAGGGGAAGTCAGCACAACTGGACTAAACCAAAGCTAAGAAGTTTCCTGAATACAGTCAAACACTTTGAGAGACAGAGTAGCAGGGGTAGGGGTCTGGGGACCATGCTTTCAGGGGACGTCTAGGTCAATTGACATAACAAAGCTTATTAAGAAACTGTTCTGCATCCTACTTTGGTGAGTGGCATCTGGGGTCTTAAAAGCTTGCAAGCGGCCATCTAAGATGCATCAATTGGTCCCAACCACCTGGACTAAAGGAGAATGAAGAACACCAAAGACACAAGGAAAGTAGTAGCCTAAGAGACAGAATGGGCTACATAAACCGGAGACTTCATCAGCCTGAGACCAGAAGAACTGGATTGTGCCAGGCTACCATCAGTGACCACCCTGACAGGGAACACGACAGAGAGTCCTGGATGGAGCAGGAGAAAGATGGGGTATAGAACTCAAATTCTAGTAAGAAGACCAGACTTAATGGTCTGACTGAGACTGGAGGGAACCCGGAAAGCATGGCCCCTGGTTTCTCTATCAGCCCAGAACTAAAACAATTTCTGAGGCCAAGTCTTCAGACAGGGATTGGACTGGTTGGTGGAACATAAAGTAATACTTTTGAGGGGTATGCCTTTTAGCTTAAGTAGATACAAGAGACTAAACGTGCAGCTTCTGTCCGGAGGTGAGATGAGAAGGCAGAGAGGGTTAGGAGCTGGTTGAATGCACATGGGGAATCAGGTGGAAAGGAGGAGTGTGCTGTCACAGTATGGGGAGAGCAATTAGAGTCACATAACTATGTATAAATTTTTGTAAGGGGAAAAAATTTTAAACACTTCTGAAAACTTCAAAGACTCAGTCAACATGTAATATCTCACATCATCCCAAAGTAATCATTCTTGCAGGCAGCATGTTACTACGTGTGTGAGAAGCAGTAGAGAGGAAGGATAGAGAGCACAGGCTCTAGAACTTGGTGGTTTGAGTGCAAATCCCACCTTCACCACC